ACATATATATATATATATATATATATATATATATAATTTTTTTCATTTTTAATCTTATAATGTAACCATTTATTTAATTGTTTCTATAATAAGCTCTTTATTTTACTTGCATTAATAACATTTTTCAATAGATAATGTATTTTTTGAAATAGTGTATCAATTTTCCAATCGTTTCAACGAAATTTAATTAAAAACATACTTATTCGAACTCTTGAATGAATGAAATGAAAACTTGTGTATTTTTAGGCGGCGAGGAGGAGCGGCGGCGAGGCGGTGAGGGGTGAGGGGTGAGGAGTGAGGGGGTGAGGGATAGGAGGAGGAGGAGGATGAGTAGGAAGTGTGTGTGGGGGGGGGGGCGGAATCATAAATACAAACAGTTATTAATCCGTACAAAAAATGACCATAAAAACAGAAGCAAAAATGGCTAATGTAATTATAATATTTAGTCTTAGAACTTAACCTCCGAAGAGTTCGTAATCCCTCCCGAACATAAATATGAATATTAGTCAACATAACAGAGATACTCGTAATTCGCTTTGGCAAAAGGTTTTAAGCTCTCTCCCACCCTCCCGCCCTTCCCTCTCCTTCTCTCTTTCTCCTTTCTCTCGCTTCTTACGGCCGAATTACACGGACGGATCAGCGCCGCTTTTTTGTGACGCGCCTCAACTCCGTCGTTGGCTTCTTTCAGATTTTCTTGGACTTTTTCGTCATCTTGCAAAGAAATAAAGTCGTGCGGTGTGTATAATTTTACCAAGCAACGATCCCGCGACGGCGTCACTCGCTCTGCCATTTGCAGATGCGGTTTTCTCGATTTCTTGATTCCAGAGCCGAGCTCGAGTCCCGCGTACATGCTCGCTCTTTTCTTGTTTACGAAAGGATCGTGCGAGCGAGAGGTAACGACCATATCAAATGCGTCACATAATGTTGTCATTTAGTTTAACAAAAAAGAGCCTCGGATTTTTGTTCCTAACCATTTGGGCACGCGAATGTGCACATGTGCTTAACTGTTTTATTTATGACTTTGTGTGGAGTTGATGTAAAGAAAACTTCCCCCCCCCCCCCCCCCCCCAGCCCCCCTATCCTCCCCCCATCCATCCACCCATCCATAAATCCCGTGAATTAAACTTTTATATAAATTCGTCGATACTCACATTCGTTACACTGTCGAATAGTATTTTTGCTAATGTTAATGCATCAAACGTATATTTGTCGATGCAAGTCCGTAGAAAATCGATAGTAATTACAAAATGTACATCTTCTTAACATCAAATCTATAATGTTTATGCAAACTTATGCTGAAATAATATGTTATATGTAAATTGTAAATATATTGTAAATATACTTGGGGAAATGTATTGGTATTAATAAATTGCCTTTAATTACATTTATATTCATTTTGTATTAACATTAAATCATAATTTTCTATAAAAATTCTAGTTCTGTAGTAATTAAAATACTATTTTCTTTATCATATGAGTTTTCAATCTTATTGTAAATAAAATCAGAGATTTATTGAATATTATTCTGATTGTCGATCTACATTAATTTTCTTAACAATATTTTACATATGTTATTGAACTAATGATAATCAGTTCAGTTATCAAATAATTTTACGTAATTAATTAAATTATTGAAAGAAATTCACATATATTTTATTGCATTGTCTTTAAATGTTAAGTATAAACTCTTATATTATTTAAATTACATTTTTCAATTGAAATGGAAATGTTTAATTCATACATTAGTCTAAATTCATTCACAGCTACATATTCTTAAACATATTAATAAGAAATAAATATAATGAAACATAATTCACTTTCCTTAACTTGCTAGAAATTATTTTATTAAAGTAAATCTTACATTCCGTTATGACTAAGACTTTTGCATAATTTCTTCCAATACACAGTATATTTTAAACAATGGTATATTGTTTACTTAGAATATATTTTTTCTCTTTTAATATTAATATAAATACATTCTTATATAATTTATTAAAAAAATGTTCAATTCTCTTTCCTGTCTTACTGCATATGTCACGCACACGTACGCGCGCGAGCGTGCCTGTGTAGATAGCTTTCATAAATAGAGATAAAATAAAGACGATATGAATATTTTATTCATTTCAAACTATCGACATTTCTTTAATTTAAACATGAACGTAACAATAAACCAAACAATTATTTAAGAACTAATATTAGACATTTTACAATGTTGATTCGATCGCTGAAATTCGTTGTTAATCACTTGATACTAATTACTAAGAAACTTTTGTAAGATATTTTATATGCTTTTTCTATTTAATGTATATTATTTCAATCATATTCATTGTTGCACACTAATAGATGAAGATTACTTACAACATCCAAATGAAGTAATATAGTAACAATATTCAGATATATATAAAACTACAGAATTTTCTTCACAGATCTTAAATCAAAAAAGAAAGAAAAAAACAAAAAAAGAAAGAAAAAACAAAAAAAGAAAGAAAAACAAAAAAAAATTAACACGTTTACCACACACATTTTATGGTATAATGATATTATTTCACAGCATAATTTGAATTTCATTATAAATTTCTAATTGAGAAAATCATATCAACGTTATTATAATGATATTACTTCATAGCCTTATATTCATTAGTTTTTTCATTATGAAATTTAAATTGGTAATAAAATTATTTATTTATTCATAATTATGAATAATTAATAATTTTTTGATATCAAGTAAAGTTTTTAAATAGAAAATTTAATATTATAATAGCTCCGTTCGTTCTATAATGCTGTTATTCTAATTTATAATAATTTTCAAATACGGACATTGTCTCCCTATGTCAATGTCGGCGGATTTAATGTAATGGTGCTGCAATCTTTCGGAGCAAACTAACACTTGAATTAATAGGAAGCTTAAATCAACTGTCGATATAATGTAGACGACGTTTATTTTCATAATATTTACAAATTATTTATTATGTTTATGTAGAAAATGCGATTACAAATTTTTAAATGAAAAGGGAATCACTGAAATCAATTGATGCAAATGTATATAAAAGTACTTTCGGCTCAGTAAAGCATTTATATTAAAATTTGAATTTATTTCTAAAAGAAAATTTCTAACTAAACAATAAAATGTTTAATATATAATTTTAATAAATATAATTGTCATAATCACGATAAATCAATCAAATTACGTAGACGCACTTTTATTTGTCAGAAATTTTATTAATACAATTTTTGCAAATGTTACCCATGGCCGATAATGTAGTTACCTTACAAATCATTCAAAACATTTGGAAACTTGTAGATATCAATTTTTCTTTTTCAAAAAGACCATTTTATATACCAATGTCTGTAAATAATTACGTAATATAATATTCATTAATTATAAAATTTCAATTTTAATTGTACAATCGTTTTATAAACTAATTGTACTTACTAATCACATTAAATACAATCTATGTAAATTTTTCATACAGATTACTATTACTAGATTATAAATAATATTGAATCGATCTTTTGTAATTATTTGTTATTTGTAAAGGCAAATGGTAAGAATGTATACAACAATAAATGTACAAAAATTTTTTTATTAATATTAGTATATTTCATTTGATGTTAATAGGTGAATGAAGAAAAATTTGAAATATCGTATGAAAATTGTGTTTTTATTTTATAATTTGAGTATAAAATTGTACAAAACAATTAGCTTGCTTGACAATTAATGATAAATAATATTTTTAAAAATATAGACAAATTTATAATAGTATATAATACTTTGGGTTACGTACAAAATTAACAGTGTAAACATTACATTACTATCGAATCCAATCAAATAACGAAAATAATGAATGCCTAGTTGGCAAATTTTAAATATATTTTGCAACGATATTCAATATACGAAATTAAAAAATAATAATTATTTAGAATGCCGTGACGAAAAAATAATGTAGTTTCTATTTATGTTAAAAAAACATATGTTTAATTTACTGAAGCTATTCGAAAAATTATGTTTATAAAATAAGAGTAAAAATATTGTACGCCTAAATTTTTTCATAAATAAATAAATTAATAAAACTAATTAATGAAACTGAGAATAATGAAATATCGGATAATCACAAGTTTATGCTCAACATTCTAAGCAATAAATAAATAAGTTGTATAAATTGTCATTATATCAGAATATAACATGATCTTGAGTCTTGAGTATTACTTTTCTATAAATACCACGAATTTACCAAGAGATCATATAGCGTAACGTAATTGTTTATGGTCTTGGTAGACCTACACTCACGCGCGTGCCTAATGTGCCTAACTACATTAATTAACGTATAATTGCTTTCGATAATTAGCTGCTTTCCGTTTATTTGGACATTAGAATCGCCTGATTTCTATTTAATACAGAAACTCCCTCATTACAAGGATTTTCACATTGAAAAGTAACATTTACTTTGTCTAATATTTTATAACAAATTGTTTAAAATAGAGAGTCTCTTTGAAGTGCGATAAAATCGGCTTATCATTTAGGTCCAAGTTTTTGCACTTTTTTCCACATATTTTCTTATAAACTATGTAAGTATACACATATATACATATATACATATATACATATATATATATATATATATATATATATATATATATATATAATAAAATGATTGTCACATTCATTAGCCTTAGAATTACGTTAAAGCTATTACAGCTTTTCGTCATTTCTATTATCAAGACCGTCGTCGTCATCATCATCATTAGTTGGAAAAACTTATGTATTAATCTTAAATTATGATACTTGAGGCATTCAAATACTTTCATCTTCACGTATTCATTTTATTAAGAACAACGCGATAACAATCCTAACTAGTAAATACTACAGGAACTCATTATTGAAATATTAAAATAATTTCGAGAAGCCAGAGAAACCAGTCGTAAGTAATATGACCTCAGTCACTCCGCTGCTCGAATTATCCATAAGATTTTCAAACTTAATATAATCGAGTATCTCGTCTCCCTTAAAAAGCTAAAGCTCCTCTCACGCGAATCTACAATTCAATCGCAACGCCGGATGATTGATTATTAGTAATTGAAAGCGTGCCTCCACGCATGTATGTAGTCCTTATATTTGACCAGGATACCCCAATCGCGCACCAGCCGCCTCGTATCATCAACAGGTTGTCGATCGGCGTCGCTCATGATGCTGCGCTCCACTCGATCCGGCAGATGCAGCATCGGCAAGGATACTATGCTCGTCTCCACCTCGCAGATCATCATCTTCAAGTAGGACTGGGTGGTGAGCAGGGCATCTTGAACCTTGGATCCCTCGTCCTCCACCATCTCTTCCAATGCCACAGCGAACTTCTGCAGGTCTGTGTGAAGTTTCGGTAAATACTTCACAAGCTGTAACCGAAAGTCAAGTATGCAATTTTATTAGCATGAATTGTTTGATTCACCGCATCAATTTCCAAACAGACCGCGTGCCCTAACGAAATTTCATAATTGTAAGCGTTTTCATAGACAGTGGAGTAATCATGATTTTGTGTTTAAATCTTTATCCAGACTTATTAAAAAATTCATAACAATAGATTGAATAACGAAAGAATATAATGAATTTCAACCGGAATTGCAAATTTTTCAGTACTTTCGTGAAACTTAAAGAGCAAAGTACACTCGGACATTGGCAACAAATTAATAAAAACCATTGTGAAACGATACTTTCTATCAATATTTCTTAATGCCATAGCTAATATAAAATTAAGCAATAAATTATTTACTTTATTATTTATTCGTATTAAACGAATCTTTATACCATTAATTTTATCGTTAGCCTTGGATAAATGCATTGCCAAAAGGATTAATTAAGAATGTTAGTTATAACTTTAATTATACCATATCAGCTGAATGAAAAGCCAAACCAATAAATGATTCGAATTTTTATTAAATTATATAACTCGAGTTATTCTTATGCATGAAATGAGCTGGATTTAATACAATCATCAGGCCAACAATGCCGTCCACTATCCTCCGTCCACATCATCATCCCTTCAACACGAGGGAGAGAGCCAATCGACAAAGCACAGACAAAGCTTTAATGCACTGAGCTTAAAAAACAAAGACGGAATTATAATATAAGGCCGTTTTATCTCTCGACACAGTTGTTGTCGTCTCTCAGATTACGCAGCCGCGCGACCCGGCTAGCATGAGCAAGTGTACATTGCGCACAGCAGCGCATCGTGCCCTCTCTCTTTTTATCTCACTCTCCTACTCGCTTGCGCGCACGCACGCACGCGCTATCTCTCTCTCTCTCTCTCTCTCTCTCTCTCTCACTCACTCACTCACTCACTCACTCACTCACTCTCAACTGTCGACTCTCGACTCTCGACTCTCTTCCTCACGCAATCGCTGCTCCACAAGCGCACGCATACACTTACGCAACACGCACGCGCAAGTACACCTCTATAATACCTCTTACTCATTCGCGCGCGCACACACGCACGCAATCATCATCTCGCTCACTCTCACTCGCACTCTATATCTCTCTCTTCGTCTCTTACTCTCACTCTGTTACTCTCACCGGGCGCTTTCAAAGCAGAAGCGGCGCGCGCACACACCGGCTACCTTGCTCCTGCTCGCCTGGTACTTTATAATAATTACCGTCTCATTAAAATTTGTTATTTAACGTTAATCAATTGCCTCTACAGAATGATGTAGAAAGGGGTTGGAAACCGTGCAAAAACAAGCTCGCATCATCCCCCGTATAGGATTCCGTTATTCCACTCGTTTCCTCGTACATTCAGGTCAAGATATATTTTAATATGAAAAGGGGTAACTACCGGGGGAGTCGGAGATAGCTGATCACAGTGAATTTTCATGATATTAAACTTGAAGAATTTGCGGAGGGTCTACTTGAAGTGCGATTAAGTGTATTTGCGTTAGGTTTAGAGCGAACATGCTATGAAAGCATGTTTGGGGTTTAAGGTGAAGGTCGCATAGCGATAGACAGATAGAGAGAGAGAGAGAGAGAGAGAGAGAGAGAGAGAGAGAGAGAGAGACTAGAGAATCACACATACGCGCCCGCGCGCACATATGCATATACATACATACATACATATGTATACACACACACATATATATATATATATATATATATATGTGTGTGTGTGTGTGTGTGTGTGCGCGCGCGCGTGCGTGCATGTGTGCGTGTGTATATATAAATGTGAAGCTTTTTATCACAAATTGATAGCTTTGAATTCAAAGACTTTAATATTTATTATTGATTTGGTAAACTTTTTATCTCCGTACTTTAGAGGTGAGAATGTTGTTAATTCTTTCAAAGAATTCTTCTTTCTTCTTCGATTTTTGTTTTTGTTTTTGTTTTTGTTTTTTTGTTTTTTTGTTTTAAATACGTTACGATAAAGGATTACACAGTGTTATATTATGAAAAGAATTTCGAAAATTATCAAGGACAAACAAATCCTTACATTATATTTGGCGAAGAAATGTTGAGTGCTTTCCGTTTCATGAAATTAATGTTTTTTTTTTCGCTTTTTACGATGGTGTATAATCGATTGCGATCATCGCTCGAAAAAACTTTATTGGCAGCAGCGAAACTTATATATTACCAATATTATTCTCTTACGAAATTTATATCTCGTAACTATATCTTATCTCCTTTAGTAAAGGCGCATGTCTTTTTAACGGTAATACAAATATAATTATCTCTCTATTTCCATTGTCTTTGGATTTATTGTGTTTTCATTGATGCTTTCCGATAAAAAAATATTTAATTTCTTTACGACTTCCTCGTTATGTTATTGTCTGTAGCACACGTAGATTGTGAAAATTATGGAAAAGCTGATTGAAAAACTTCATAAGAAGTGTAACTGAATTTAAAATTCAATGATGAAAGTTAATTATTTCATTTATTTGCCAAATGAAAATCAATTAATAAATTACCAAGTTTCCTATCAATATTTTTATTTCGTAATATATTACGTAACCTAATAATCTACTCTAATTTTTAAAATTTTTCATATTTTTGTTTAGTCCGTATGAAGATTTTGACGATAAAAAAATTTTAATCTAGTCGCTTTTACAACAGATTATCAGTATTTAAAATAAGCTGTTAAAGCACAGTTTTTATACATTACATAATTATTTCATAATGCATCGTAAATATTGAAAATCGACTTATGAACATATAAACATGTGAATGCATTAACAAACAATTAATTCGTCTCTTTGTTTTATAGGTTAGAATGGAAATGAACGGGGCCTAGAAGTCCTGAAACTATCCAATACTTTTCCATTTTGCCGAAAGCTCTAACCGTAGTATTAAATAAAGATGAGCATATTCCAGTATTTTACGTTAACATTCCCTACATTTAATTGTCAAGGAGCTTATGGTATTCTTAGATAAATTACAAGACTCGATCAATGTTCCTATCAATGTTCGAATATGTATTGTAATCAAAGTGCGTCAGAGTGAAGTATTACTTTATCATCGACAGGGAAAATATATAAAAAATATACTACAAAGCTCTAGAATGATAAAACTTAGCGCTGATATGGATAATAATCGGCATTAACAAATTTTGATTTACGAAAGTAATCCAAAGGCAATTTTTTTTGTTGTTGTGACAATGTGCATTGTGCAATATGAATGTCATCCAATGAAATATTTAAAATAATTTTTGTTAATTAAATTTTGTTGGAAATTTTATTAATATTCGTATTTTCATTGATTTCAAATAGCGCGCACATCGACACTATTTCACTAAAAAATACTTAGAATACCGTAAGGAAAAAAAATTACATACCCTATTCTCTCGCATATGCCTATGTATAAACATATATATATATATATATATATATATCACTGATTTACGGAATAAAAATTTTCTTTGCATAGCTACGAAAAAATTGAGCTAATCATCTAAAAATACGTATCTTTGCAAAGTTATTTGGAAAATGCGAGCTTTCAACCCGCCTGCAAAATATATAACCTACGTCATAGAGCGTACACGAACACTACTCACACTACGTGCGGGCTACGTACACTAACAACGAATCGCATTTACTTTTTCAAATGAATCAAAGCAAACAAATCGAAATTTTACACGTCGAGTGAAGCAATTTTTATATTTTACACAAGCGCTTCGATCCTCGAGGTGTAGACATTTTCTGTCACGATTATCCAAATAGACGGACACTCCTCAGATTACGAAATGTTATTGAAAAAATATATTACGTATAATTTTGGCAAATACATCATCTCACCCACGACTAATTTAAATTCATCATCAATTTGAAAATATACCATATTCTACTTTCAAAAATCACTAATGCACATAACGAATCATTGATTATTATTGTTATTATAATTATTGTTATTTTATACGTCTCTGCTCACCTTTTTCTTACGTATTAATTTAACCTTTCGAATAAGTGATTGAATGTGCTCAGATTCTTTAATTTGAATGACAATCTTAAGAAGAACGATCGGCTTCTCACGCATGCCGGACGGATGTGTAGGAAATACCTCGATGAAACTAATGTTCCTCTTAAAATCATTGCTACATAAATGATCAATTTGCCATGTCCAATAGATAAGCATAGCCAATCACTGGACATCCAGTTCAATTTAATAGAGAAATCGTGAAAAGCGAAAGCACAGGAGCGCAAAGCTTCCGTTACGGCATCTTTGAAAGCAACCTGTCAAATCTTAAGAGATTCGATATCATAACAGCATCCGGCATAATTCCGTGTCTAATTTTACCGGTCAGGCATGTCAATAAGTATACTAACCAGCTGGGGCTTGATGTGGGCGAGCTTCTTAACCGAATGGACGTCCTTCTTGCCAGGTAACCAATTAGGTATGTACTGATGCTCGTGGACGCCGATCCTTACACTCTCATAGAGGAACTCGTAGTCCTTGCTGAGATAGTCGTTCAGCATAAGTTCATGCTGGATACGGAGATTCTTAAGACTCGTTCGTATCTCTTCGTCGAGATCACGTGGGTCCGCGTAATCGCGTTCCCCATTGTCGCCGCAAGGTAAGTGCCAATAAGGCACCGGAGACTTGGAGTAGAACGGCGCGGAAAGCGCGATTGGCACTCTTGCCGCGACGAGCACTGCCGATACGATTAAGAGAACGCTGACTCCCCGGCTTAGCATCTCGCTGAGATTCTGCGGTGATAATTCGTAATAGTTGCTTATTAGGATGATGTCTCTCAGGAAACACGGAACTTGGGATTTTGCACGTACGAGCGCGGGCGACCGAGAGCTCAGCGACTGACATTGTCAAACTCCGCGGCTTCCCCCTTTATATGTACGATAGTGTAAGCAATCGTTACGCGCGCGTAAATATCTCCTCTCTCACTCCCGCTTGTGCGCACGCCCACACACGCACACAGCTCTCTCTCTCTCTCTCTCTCTCTCTCTCTCTCTCTCTCTTTCTCTCTCTAGCTTTCCTCACCGCGAAACTCCGACTTTTCGCAATTCTTAACGGACAGAAGCCACGCCGAGGATTCCACCGCGTGGCTTTACGCTTAAGCACGTGTTTAAGCGAGTACCCACGATAATTGTAGCGGCCGATTCTTGAATGAATGGCGCACTATTACGATTGAGGATGCCAATGACATAACGCGAGATCATTCATGAGGATTTCCTACCGGGAGCTTACGTAGAAGCACACACTACTATGTTGTCTCTTGCGTAGTAATCTTTGTTCCTTAAACTATCAGTGATGCAGATTAAGGCAATTTTATATTAATGTTTTCTCTATTAGAAAACTATGTTCTCGTTGCATAGCTTAAAACATTTGTGAGTGCAGGGGTATCAATATAAATTCTAAAAGTTTATAATTATCTCTGAAATAATCCTGTTTTTTATTGAAAAATTTCAATTATACACGACTATAATAAAGATCATACTGATTATTATTGTTTTTGTTTTTTCACGAATAACTAAATTCCTTTTAATTCATTGATTTAATTATTTAATACAAAATATTTGACATTACGTATCAACAGTTTCCATACAAAATTAATCGACCAAAAGAATTTGTGTTAAATTAGACATGCGATTCGACTAATATATATATATATATATATTATTCGTATATTTCTTTACTATAATAATTATTTTTACTTATGCATGTTTAAATAATTACATGGTTATGAAATTTTGTAATTTCGAATTCGTTATTTATATTAGTATTTAACAGCTTTCACATCACATTTTATTACGTTCTCTTCAAGCTAATATATTTCTAATCGAGTAGGTTTTTTGAAGAAAAAAAAACTTAATAATAAACAATATTAAAAATATATATAAAATACTATAAACTTAGGGCTATCTTAATAAATGTTTCATTTTCTCACTTTAACATTTGTTATATTTCAAAGATTTGAAATATTCAGCATAAAATTTCATTTGTGATAGTTATTTTACAGGAGCTTTCCATTAAATATCGAGTAAACGTATTATTTGTAGTAACTTGTCTGAATTGATGAAATAAAACTATATAAAATGGTTCTAAGTATTTAAAAATTAGTATGTTATGTATAATAAAATAGCAAAATGTAATAATTTTACTAATATTAATTAATATATTATTTGGTTTCATAAAATATGTCATAACTAGTATATATATATATATATATATTCTTTGAAGTATAGTAAATGATGAATTTGTAAAATATAGTAAACAATACTTTTTATTGTAACTACGTACAACTCTAGTTTTCGAGTAAAAAGGCCTACTTCGAATACCTATTAATTACAATATGAAATTTAAAAAAAAAAAAAAAAAAAAGTTAATCTCTTAAGATTTTCAACTTTTAGCAATTTATAAAGTGATGAAATTATAGTTTTCCAATTACCTTACATTAAAATATCTTTTATGTTTTATAACGGAATATAGAAAAAGTACTGCGAAGAACGAAATACGTAATCGGGGACTGACTCAATTTTATAAACATCATGATAGTTTTATTTTTTTTTTCTTACATGTAATTATAAAAATTATAAAAAGTTTATATTGTAAATATTACACGTAGTAAAACAAAGTTCAAATAAATTATCAAAAATTGTAAATTGAACATAAAACATTGGACTTTTTAAAGAAATCGATAACAGTACGTCAATTTTTATACGCTTGGTGATGTTCGTTGGTACGAAGAACAGTTTTTAAAAATATTTAAATATTTAATCATTAATAGATGAAATTTCACGTAATTGATAAATTGTAATGATTTTATGAAATTTATCATAAATGATCATAATATAATGCATACAAAAGATTATGTATTCGATGCTTTTCGAACAAACTCTTCCGACTGATTTCACTTTTGATACTTGAATACCATATTCCTAAGTTTCGCGTATAATATATGAAATTTCATTATCGTTTCATATAACTTTAATGTTATGAATTAATTACACGAATTTTTAACAATAGTGAATAATACTGATTAACAATTTATTCAATTTTACATTTATACGATAGCAACGGCAATAAATCAAATGATTGCCAGTCGTAATTAAGTTATAAAATAAATATACGATCTATCCTAAATTAAACATTTATCATGAAATAAATACCGTTTTGCCGAATAGTCGATCAAATAAATCATTTAATAAATTGCCGAAAGTTCAAATATAATATAATAAATGCTAAATTCAATCGCAGTTGCTGAAGCTAAGGGAAAATTATGCTCGTAGTTACGTGACAAGGCATCACCACACGGACACTACACACCTATACATCCTCTTGAAGAAATTATTATAAAGAAAAATTCGTAGTGGTAGTAGCGTAGTACATCAGGTCCCATTCAATCTACATATCCGTGGCGGAAAAAGTTTCGAGCTTTTAGAATCCCGTCGGCAGATGCACGCAGCCGAGCCGAGTAAGGCGAAGGGAAATAGCGCTTAGCTCAGACGTAAATCGCTCGTGTTTGCATAGTGATTCATGTGGGAAAGTCGGCAGCGTCTGTAATCAGCTGCGCTTCTCGTTCAATTAGACTTGGCGCGCTGAACTCGCGTACTGGACTATGACGTCGGTGTGCACATGTCGCGGCCGTCCGATCTTATCATTCCTGCGCGGGACGTCGTCACGTTTTTTTTTTCACTTTGATGAAACACGCGCGCTACTTGATCTCTCGCTAAGATTAAGATTCTCGCTTTATCTTCCCACTGAAATCCCACTTTGTTGGTCTTTCGTTTAGACTTATTGATACGTCGAGCTTTACTCGTTCGGAGCATTATATGGCATCTGGGTGTACGCGAAATTTCGTGAAAACTCTCGTAAGTATGATTTTGCTATTAATTTGGAAATTAATGGTTTGCTTCATACCGTCCCTTTTCAATTCACCCTTTTCTAAGTAAAAGTTGCAACATTCAATAAGGTCCAAGAGGTAAAAGGGTTGTAATGATATTGCTTCATCCGATTATATAATATACAATGTCTTTCGACGTATCTCTGCTGCACACGCACTATTATTATTATTATTATTATTGTTTGTACACTAGAATAAATTCATTAGCGAAGAAAATATTGTTTTTAGTATAATTGCAAGATTATATTTTATAAACAAGATGTACTATTGTAAAGCTTTTCATTTAACATATAAAAAAATATGTTTATCAGTTAAATTATATCGACTCTATATTGCATTGTACCTTTTCATATATATATATATATATATATATATATATATATATATATATATATATTGGAAATTCGTAGTTTAGGAACGACACGAATAACGGAAGAATAACAAAATATTTATTATATTTATTTATCCTATGTATATAATTAATATTATAATATTCTGTTATAATTAATTAAACATTATAATTATAATTATAATTATAATGATATGTAAGTCAAACGCATAAAAATGATAGAAAAGTAGCTTTAACGTTTTAAAAGAAGAATATTCATAAAAGTATTGTTTTCTTTTTACTTAAATAAATTATCTGAATATAAACAATATTATTACTAAATACGTGCTACATTATATTTATCATTAATTATGATTAAAAAAATATGAAAAATAATACACTTTATCCATTTTATTTATATTGTAATAGATTAGAGTTCGATCATTATAATCAAAATAATTATAAATATATTTAGATATCTGAAAATTATTCCAAAAATAAAATTTATCGCTAAGAAGTATATGGTATTATATAATGTATAGAATAAATTTTGAAAATCACAATAATATTCTTAGATCTATGTTTTACGCTATAATATGTGATTATTGATTTTGGTTTCAGAATCTTTTTCAATAAATAATTAAAATTTTATAAAGCAAGATTATTTTATATTGTGAAAATTTACATGTAATTTACTATGAATCATAATCACAATTCCTTTTCTTTAATTTCAAATTAGAATATATATGTAAATATATATATATATATATATATACATACATACACATTTAATTCATAATAATGTACTTACTACGTTATTACAAATACTTTAAGCAAGTATATATACAAATAATTATAAATATTTTCATACAATCTATAAAATGTATCTAGCTAGACGAATAAAATGATGTTTAGCGTTAATATTAATTATTATATTAAATAAAAGACATTTTTTCTTTTAGAGAAAGATTATATTTGAATAAAATAGTTTTGTTTAATTGCTTAATGTGATTTTTCTAATTAAAGAAACTAAAATGTATAAAAGGAGCTTTTCAATACATCTCACCACCTGTCTTATATAATGATATATTAAATATTTTTAATAATAATTAAATATTAAATGTCTGTATATAACTGTTATTCAATCTATATATCACTGTTTTTAAATTAACATATCATTTGTTATCCATTTTCAATTCATATTTTTATAAAATTTTAATTCGTTATATTCTAAGATAGTGTATTATACCAAATATGGCGATACCATAATTATTAATGAGATTGAAGATTAACAGATAACCGTGAATTCACTCTCATATTAACTTCCCGACGTTTACTAAATATGTGCAAGTATATATTTCTTACAAATTGAAAGAGTTTTTAATAATAAAGCGCTCAATTATTTCATCGGAATATATATTACCAATACCTCTGTATATGCACATTAATCAATTATTTTATGAAAGACTGTAATAAATGTGCTACGTATCATGCTTTATTATTACTAATAAGAAAATTTTAGTCCGTTTTTTACCGAATATTCTCGGCATCTGATTTTTAAAATATTAAATAAATGAAAACATGCCAAACATTAATCTTACTCGGTAGTCCAACAA